CCAGATCAGTGCACTTTCGGCCGGAAATAGCGCTAGAAGCAATCTGCCAGGTGGTGGCAGCGGCCCTCCAAGCTATGGATGCGAAGACGACCCCCCAACCAGGAGCACGCCCTAGCATCCACGTCCTGCTATGCTGCTCCTGGAATACCGTGAAGAACACAGTGCACAAGGAAATGCTGGCCACCCGTGCACTGACTCGGGCAGACACTCTCAGTGCACTGCTTGCTGAGGCGGCCCAACATGCAGGAGAAAGCGCCGCGATAGTATATGCGCTAGGCGGCCACTACCTGACAGCTCAACCTCCTCTCCGAGTCTTCCAGACCTACGTGCACGACTCACAACCTGGTCCTCACGAGATGATGGAGGAATGCTTCCCAAACATCCCGAGGGAATTCTTTGACGACGCCAAGCAGGTCGAGATCATGAAGGAGCTGTCTGGCATGGTAGGGCACTGCCTTTACCACTTACTGACCAACGCAGCGCACCGCGCTGACGTCTGGCGGTACACAGAGCACTGGCTTCGAGGAGGGATGTACATTGACATCAAAACGCGCTTTGTAGTGACGTACCGGACCCTCATCTCTTGCATCATGAATGAGTGGACATCCACGCTCTCGAGGCAGGCACAGCACAAATACGGCTGGATCAACCCAGCCACTGGTCCGCCAGACTACTTCCTCACCGCCATCGGAGCTAAGAAGGACCACATCTTCCAGGGCATCTTGCTGGGACGACGCCGTCACCCATTAATGACGTCCGCACTCCACTACTGCTTAGCCAATGACTTTGTGCGACGCGAGCACACCCCATCCTACATGACCTTCTGCAAGGTCCTCTTCAAGGTCATCAAGGACGACCTCGGACTTGCGCCCACGGACCAGCTGACACCCGGATGGCATCTTTGTCCTCGTCTGGGCCCAATCTACCTTCTGCAAGAAGAGATGAGCACAGAACTCCGCCAGAACGGCCCATACAGAAATGATGGGCACTTCTTCACAACAAAGACGGGGAAAAGGGTGGCCTTGACTAGATGCTGGCAATGGCGACATGGATGGAAGAACGACCCGGGCCAACAAACCCGTACCCCGGACACTGTCGGGGCGACGCGGTATCTGCCTTGTCCCAGATACCGACGGAAGCTAATGCAGTGCTTTTCAGTACCCGCCATCCTCCACCAGAGCCTGGAATGCCCCGGAAATCTCAGCGGACAAGCCGACAGTGACCCTGATCACAGCCCATGTCACTGAGGCCAATGGAGACCAACCTTCTCCAGAAGATTATGCAACAGATCGAGGCCTTTCCACAATGCTGCGGCACCCTTGAATTGCGAGATGTTCAGGCTCTGATCCCGCGCGGCCTCAGCATCAACCCGGACACCCTCACCTCCAATGTGCGTTCTGCAGGAACAAACACGGAAAAAACATCTCCTTCTCCAACGACGCGGGCATCAAGCAGCATTTCGCCAGGCAGGGGTGGCATGCCAACTTGGCCATCAAATTCAGCGCAGCCCTGGACCACAAGACGGAGGCAGAGTTCATTCAGTCAACTCAGAAAATCAATCACCAGAGGTCTTCCAGAACACTGTTCGGGCCAAATCCAAGGGCACTGCCCTGGCGGCTTCGTCCAGCAGCAGCGCCGGCACTCAACGTCCTTCCGAGCCAACAGGACCACCGCCTGGAAGGGATGCCACAGCATATCCTGACCATCCTCGTACGGCAACGATGCCACCAGAACCCCAAGCTCCCCAACCAATGCTCCACCGGAGCCTCCTCAGCTCTCTCCTCCAGTTGAACAAGAACGGCCGTGCAAATCAGCCGGAGTGCCTTCTCCTCCACCACAACGGTACTCACCATGCAGGAGCAATGCAGCGATCAAGAATGGGTTAAGACGGCCAACGAGGTCCAGGTCATCACAAATCCAGGTGATGGGCAAGTTTCTCCATCCTCTTTTGCCTTCATTGGCCGCCTGATACAGCCGAACGGAGAAAAAAAAACCCTGCAAGCCTGTGGACTTCGTTGTTCATGCAGTCCTCTCCTCACCTCTGACAAATTTCAGTCAACCCACCTCATCAATCAGAGTTCGTTTCTCATCACTGTGTTGCAGGCAAATAGCCAAGCTAAGCAATTCCAAGGTCCGTGATCCATGATGGAGTGCCCATGAAGGCAGTGCCTAGAAGCAAGACAGAGTACTTTCAGGACAAGCAGCATGATCTAAACAGCCATTAACCGCTCTAAACAAGACTACTGTCCTCCTAGCCTCAAAGCAGCCACACTTCACTTGGCAGGGCACTGTCTTGGCTGTCACACAAGGCTGGCCCGATTCTTCAGTGTTGCTTGTTACCACAGGGGTGCACTTCTGTGCCTTCTTAAGACGAGGTGCAGCTCAGTGGCGAGAATAGCTGCCGAAACAGACACAGCTCATAAGAAGCGCTGCTCCCATGTACAAAAGGAACAAACATCGATGATTGAGAGGTCGCACAGCTGGAGAAAAGCAGGTCTTCACATCATTGCAGTTTGCAACTGTTTCTTCACCAGCCATGCAACTTGCGAGGATTGCCTTACTCTGAATCCGGGAGGCCCAGCCAAACACTCAATGCTGCAAATCTGCCAAAGTGACTACTTCTACGGTCCTCTACCTCACAATGATCCATGTGGGATGCCACCAGATGGACATTGAGGAAGACGGCCAATCAGGTACGACCCACTTGCAGGAAGGTGCGTGTCTACTGGACGCAGTGAGACACAGTAGGATGACGGGAGCCAAAATTTTTCACCCATAGAAAAGCTGACAAGCTAGCTCAAAACCTCGCTCAGCGTTCAATAAAAACAAATAAATAGTAGTAGTAGTAATAGTAGGGTAGTAGTAGAAGTAGTCGTCGGAGTAGTAGTAACAGTAGCAGTCGTCGTAGGAGTACTAGTAGCAGTCGCAGTAGTAGTAGTAGTAGTAGTAGTAGTAGTAGTAGTAGTAGTAGTAGTAGTAGTAGTAGTAGTAGTAGCAGTAGTAGTAGTAGTAGTAGTAGTAGTAGTAGTAGTAGTAGTAGTAGTAGTAGTAGCAGTAGCAGTAGGAGGAGTAGTAGTAGTAGTAGTAGTAGTAGTAGTAGTAGTAGTAGTAGTAGTAGTAGTAGTAGTAGTAGTAGTAGTAGTAGTAGAAGCAGAAGAAGTAGTAGTAGTAGTAGTAGTAGTAGTAGTAGTAGTAGTAGTAGTAGTAGTAGTAGTAGTAGTAGTAGTAGTAGTAGTAGTAGTAGTAGGCGCCCCCCCCTACCAAATACCCAGCAGGATGCTAACATTCATGTTCCCAGTGCGTGGTGGGTGGGGGGGGTAATTACGTTCCTGCCAAGGCTTCATGCCAAAGCTCCATCTCCTGTTTTTCACCCGAAGCCGAAACCTTCATGCCAAAGCTCCATCTCCTATTTTTCACCAGAAGCTGAAACCTTCATGCCAATGCTAACGTCCATGTTCCCAGTGCGTGGTGGGTGGGGGGGGGGGTGGAGGGGGGGTGGGGTGGGGGGTAATTACGTTCCTGCCAAGGCTTCATGCCAAAGCTCCATCTCCTGTTTTTCACCCCGAAGCCGAAACCTTCATGCCAAAGCTCCATCTTCTGTTTTTCACCAGAAGCTGAAACCTTCATGCCAATGCTAACATCCATGTTCCCAGTGCGTGGTGGGTGGGGGGGGGGGTGGGGGGTAATTACGTTCCTGCCAAGGCTTCATGCCAAAGCTCCATCTCCTGTTTTTCACCCGAAGCCGAAACCTTCATGCCAAAGCTCCATCTCCTGTTTTTTCACCAGAAGCTGAAACCTTCATGCCAATGCTAACATCCATGTTCCAGTGCGAGCTGGGTGGGGGGGGGGGGGGGGGGGGGTAATTACGTTCCTGCAAAGGGTTGATGAAAAATCTCCATGTCCTGTTTTTCACCCGAAGCCGAAACCTTCATGCCAAAGCTCCATCTCCTGTTGTTCACCAGAAGCTGAAACCTTCATGCCGATGCTAACATCCATGTTCCCAGTGCGTGGTGGGTTGGGGGGGGGTGGGGGGGGGGGTAATTACGTTCCTGCCAAGGCTTCATGCCAAAGCTCCATCTCCTGTTTTTCACCCGAAGCCGAAACCTTCATGCCAAAGCTCCATCTCCTGTTTTTCACCGAAGCCGAAACCTTCATGCCAAAGCTCCATCTCGTGATTTTCACTCGAAGCCGAAACCTTCATACCCAAAACAGCCAGGGTTTTGCAAAGCCGGAAAGCCTCAACCCAAAACCCTGAACCCTCAACCCCAAACCCGAAACGAGCACGGTTCTACAAAGCCCGAAAGCCTCAACCCAAAACCCTGAACCCTCAACCCTGAGCCCGAAACAGGCAGGGTTCTGCAAAGCCCGAAAGCTTCAACCCTAAACCCTCAACCCTAAACCCCAAACCCAAAACAGCCAGAGTTGTGCAAAGCCCGAAAGCCTCAGCCCTGAACCCAAAACCTTAAACCAGTGCACAACGAACAACTTAAAAACAAAATTGACGTCCAAAATTCGGGTTTTGAGCGTTTTTCTATGTCCAACGTCTGATCCGGAGAAGTAAAAGCCAATGCTTGGCAAGTGCTTCCCGTACCATGCCTGCCAGTTACTTTGTACATGCGCCTCACGTGTGGTGGTTGGTTGGGGGGGGGGTAGTAGTAGTAGTAGTAGTAGTAGTAGTAGTAGTAGTAGTAGTAGTAGTAGTAGTAGTAGTAGTAGTAGTAGTAGTAGTAGTAGTAGTAGTAGTAGTAGTAGTAGTAGTAGTAGTAGTAGTAGTAGTAGTAGTAGTAGTAGTAGTAGTAGTAGTAGTAGTAGTAGTAGTAGTAGTAGTAGTAGTAGTAGTAGTAGTAGTAGTAGTAGTAGTAGTAGTAGTAGTAGTAGCCGCCACAGATCAGACGGCCGGGCACTTGCTTCAAGGTCAACCAGGCTTTGGGCGCAACCTCTGTCCTAGAGGCCCAACTGGTCCCCAGGGCAACGTAACTGCTTGTGCCTTACAGAGAGCCATGGATCGTCGGGAGCTCTGAGCTGTCTGATCTGCCGGGTCCCAATTCCCGGGCCTCCTGAACTCAGACATCGTAGTCAGCCATTCAGGAGGTAGGCGAGAGGTGTTTCCACTGCTCCGCGAGGTGGAAGGAGTACTCACGATAAGCTATCTCAGTATCGCTCGGCGTGGGGAAAAACTAGCGGATGGCGGTACCTTCAGAGCACCCCAACAATTTTCGGAGCATTCGTAAAGTTTCATTCAGGAGAGCTTGCACGTTAGTTTCACGCACTCAACAAAGCATTCCTTACAGGCGAGGTATCTTGACACCGGAATATGTAGACAAGAGCAGATTGCATCCCCCCACCCAACTTGCCGACGGGGGCTCAAAGCAGCAGACGCCTGCACCTAAGCGCACCGCGCCAAGATCCAGAGGTGGAGCACTGGCTAAGCCACTCCGCGTACTCACTTGGAATGCCGGTCACCTAGGACAGCAGCAGTGGGCCGAGCTTCGCACGTGGCTTCGAACAGCAGCGGACAAATATGATGTAATAGCCCTGCAGGAGACACACTGGCAGGAAACCACAGAATTCGACGTGGAGGGCTGGCACTGCGTCAGCTCCGCCAACAAAGGACAGGTGAAGGCTACTAGAACTAAGAAAAAGCAAAACTCAACGGCAGAAGGAACGGGACCGGCACTGCCAGAGGTTCCAGCTCATGCACTGCATGATGACAAGCGTGCCGATGGAGTGATGATCCTTACTGCTCCACACATTCCAAAAGACACTGTCAGGTGGAGCGAGCATAAAAAGGGACGAGTCCTCGAAACAGTATTCCAGTGGAAGGGAGCTCGAGTGCATGTGGTGTCAGTCTACCAACATGTATGGTCCACCTCAAAAACTGCACAGCAAAACAGAGCAGATAGATCTACCAACCTTGCTGCTCTGTCCCGAGCCATTCGAGGGGTACCGCAGAGAGACACATTGATAGTGTTGGGAGACTTCAACTCGACCCTCACGCCGAGTCCAGGAGTGGTTGGTCCGTGCACTCCAGGACCTCCTCCACATCGCAAGGCAGAGGACGACTTCTTCCAGCGGTTAGTCCAAGGACATGGGTTGGTAGCGTTGAACACCTGGTCTTCAGGGAAAGGATTTACCTTCCAGACGGCAACCACGCAATCGCAACTAGACTACATACTAGTCCCTAAAACAATCTCTCGAGGTGAGGCAAAAAAGAGCACGCCACTAGCCCACTTCCAGCTAGGGAACTGGAAAAAGGGAGGCCACCTCCCCCAGCTCCCCCCTCCCCCCCCCCCTCCCCCGCCATACGACAAACATGCACTCGAACGCGCAGTACGCTACCACCACCCTAAGGCACAAGAAATGAAAGAGTGGGTCGCTGCCCAGCTCCAGCAGCTGGCCTCTCCAGACATGAATTCAGCCAATGAAATCCTCATACAGGCTTCAGAGAGATACTTCCCGCGAGCTCCAAAACCTTCAGCTCCTCCGCTGAATGCCATGCATAGAGCGACTCAAAGAACGTGGTCACGTCTGACTGCGCTGGATGAAGACCTAAGAAGTCACTCCCTGACGCAGGCAGACCACGAGGTGTTGGTCAAAGACCTGGCGACTTGGCATAAGCAGGCAGTATCATTGGCAAAGAAGCAAAGAGTAGCCGACTTCACAAAGGAGGTGGATCACTCAGCCACAAAACTCTGAAAGCTCTCCGACCCTGGCAACCGCAGCCGAAAACACAGCTGGTGAACCAGGACGGATACTTAGTGGCAGCCGAGGAGGAACTCCTGCTAATGAAAGATCATGCTAAGGCGGTGTTCCAGAGGCATGACAGGTTAGATGTGCTGGTGAATACACTGCCACAGCTGCAGGCTCCAGCATTGGCCAAGCACATAGGCTCCATAAGGCCACACAAAGCAGTACCCGAAGGTTCAGCTTCGGCAGCAGCGTGGAAACTGTGCTCAGCCTCGACAGGAGACGTGCTCCAGCAATACTGCCAGGCACAGAGCCTCAAAGCTGAGCACTGCTCAGTGGATTCATCAGTGACACTTTCAGCACCGCTGAAGGATACTGACCTTTGCTTCATTCCCAAGCCGAATAAGCCACCAAACAAGCCCACTAATCTTCGCCCACTAGGCATTATACGACCAGATGGCAAAGGATTGGCAGGAGCATGCAGGGATCTGCTAGCTCCCTATACGTCCAGCTACCTCAAGCCAGTGCCTCAGTTTGCCTATCAGCCTAGGAGAGGGCTGTCGGATGCCCTGTCCAGAGTCTCGCAACACAGTCAGGCAGGCCTGCGCACAAGCCAGACTCAGCAGACACAGCCAGCATGCAGGCCATGCCAAGCCAGAGCTAGTAGGAGGCATTTGCTTTGCACTGGACCTCTCTCAAGCATTCGACATGGTGCGACGACAGGACCTCATGGACACCCTGCAGGAGGCCAACGTCCCAATCGCGGTGCAGAACTTAGTGGCGCCTTTGCACACAGACAGCCGCTACAAAGTCAGATCACAGCAACGGACATGTGAAGTAGAATCGACTACAGGAATAAAACAAGGATGCAAGCTCGCCCCCACTCTCTTCTCGATGCTCACAGGCAAGCTCTTTAAGGAACTATCGACAGTTGTGGGCAAAGAAAGGATGCAGCAATCTCTCACAGGCTATGCAGATGACATGACGATCCATCACAACATCAGCAATTGGGAAGACCTGCTAAAGGCTCACCACATGATAGCAGAGTTGCTCCGCATTGTTCGTAAGTACGGCTTTAAGGTGAACCCAGAGAAGTGCCACTTGATGGTAAAACTCGTAGGTACTGCCTCCTCCAGAGCACACAAACTCTTCAGCCGAGTCCACAAGGATGCACAAGGCAACAAGCATCGACTATGGAGAATAGGTAGCACGAAAGCCCAGGAGTCATTCCCACAATCTACCTCTTTTAAGTACCTGGGTGCGTACGTCTCCTACGGCAATCAGGAAAAACTAAGCCTCACACATCGCCTGCAAGAAGGCAACGCCAAACTTCAACAAGTTCGCAGATATGTTCACAACAGGAGACACTCGGGGCCAAAGAGCAGACTCAAGATTTGGTTTTCCACAGTCTGGGCCACTGTCTCAGCAGGTCTCGTAGACATAGGCCTTACAGCAGACACTGCTAAACAGCTGCGAGGATGGTTTGCCAGAAAAATTAGGGCAGTCCTGAACAGACCGGTCCATCTCACAGGAACATCAACAGAGCGCCTATACGAGGAGTTCTCGCTCAAAGACCCCGTGCAGATCCTGCGAGACAGGCAAGCGAACCGAGTCACATCCCTACAAGGACGGATTTGGCAGGCAGGGCAATCCCAGTCTGCACTGCGGAAGGAAGCGACTGAGTCACTGACTCACGATGACACGTCGTCCCCGGATTCAGACGTGTCATTAACAGCCCAGGCACTTCAGTACGCTGAAATGGTGCTGCATGAATATGATGCACTGCTGACTGCGTCGCATGCAACGGCAGAAGAACCGACTCACAAATGCCGGTTATGCTCCTTTAGCTCTAACTCAGAGCAAGGCCTAAAGATTCACGAGGTCAAAAAGCATCGAGAGCAGCTAGACAGATATGTACCCAAATCATTCCTACCAGAACACTCCAAAAACGGCCTCCCAACCTGTGCAGCGTGCTCTAAAGAATTTGCACTGTGGAAAGGCCTAAAAGACCATCTACTGTCAGGAGCCTGCCCCAATCCAGACGCCCTGCGAGCACTGGACGCCCGAACCTTTGAACTCCAAACCCAACAAAGCGCAACAGAGGTGATGCATGCCTGGTCTAAGGCATACCTAGAGAGCACGAAAGACACACATACGGTCACTCAGCTCGCAAGGCAACATGACTCCAGGCACTTCGTGCAACACTGCGTGATCTGCGGTTTCTGGACTCCTGATCATACCAAGGTGAAGTCCCACATTCACCAGGAGCACCGAAAGGCTTGGGACGCCCTGCACACTGACACGGCTGAGAAATGCCGGAAACTCGGGGCCGAAATATTTAAGGGCAGTTCCTGCCCATACTGCAGGAAGCCAGTCACTGACAGGCGCAAACACCCAGAACAATGCGGCGTGCTTTTTCAGATCATCCTGGGCGATTCTTTCCTCCATCAACACAGAACAACGACAGGACCGATCCAAGCCTTCTTCACCAATGCAGCTTCACGCCCTAAATCAGAGCAGAAACAACACCAGCAGCAGAGCACAACCCCGTCCACACCTAAGAAGCCAACAGGGCAGCTCCAAACCCCTCTCTCCTTCTCATCTAACCGACCTGAATCGTCACAACCAGTGAGCGGCCCTTCTTTCTCTCATGCCCATTCAATGTCCTCATCTTCCTCTCTCTCTCCCTCCTCCCCTCCTGCCGCTCTCTCAGCCCTTGCACGGCTCCAGCTGAAGAATACCTCTAACTACTGCTATATTAATGCCACAATTTTATCGCTGCTGTCGACCTCTATTATTGCTCCGAACCTGCGCTCCCTTCAAGCTCTTCACACCCTGCTGAAAGGCCCGGAAGGTACAGTAGGTCCCACCGCCCTCAATGTAGTAAACTCATTCCAGCTCAGGAATTTGCTGCCAAGATGGCGCTTCGACGGCACACAACAGGACTCGGCGGAGTTCCTACAGTGCTTACTCACAGCAGCCTCAGACATCCCTCTCACACGCAGATGGGCAACAGTAGACCCAGCAACGGGAAGGCTGGCTGATGAGGGAGGCCCCATTGTCATGCTGCTACAACATTCCACTAGCAGCACGCTGCAATCCTTGATAGATGCCTGGTCAGTAGCCCCTCCTGACTCCGCACTGATGGGGCAGCAGACGCATGCCATCCTTGCAGTAGCCCGATTCACAGGGGCAGGTAAGAACCACCACCCAGTCACGGCTATTAACGGCGATCTCATTATCCCAGTGTTACAGGGCGGAGTCATCAGCAGAGAGCATGCTTTTGTTCAATCTTGTATTTTCCACATAGGACCCTCCCCACACAGCGGCCACTACCGCACTATATGGAGGTCATCGCCTACCTCACCCTGGCAGTCGACCGATGACCAGCGCAGCTCTCAGCGAGCTACGGAATCAGACCAACGGCAAGTCAGACACGGTTCCTATCTCTTCTTTCTCACCTTTCGAGCGGAAGTGCCTGCAATAGTAACGCTTTAGTGGCCGAATAGCACCAACAGAAGTGAGGAGTCGTAAGAACTCCCCACCTCTCTTTTAGAGTCGTAAGCACTCTTTGCTAGAGCCGTAAGCGCTCTCAACCACTGGAGCGTTGCAGCAGCTTCGGCTTTGCACTGCAGCCAGAGCCTCTCAAACAACTAGAACAACCGACGTAGCTAGAACACAGAGAGCCCAGAGAGCGTCAGCATGCTTGGTCAAGACCGTCGGGATGAGCGACAAACTGAGAAGCGAGCACGGACATCCGGGGCGGAACAGCTACCTCGCACAGATGAAGGAGGAGAAATCCATCCACTCTCACCGACGGATCTCACCCGAGGCTTCCTGATTCATGAGGATCAGATAAGCAGACTGATGCACCAAAGCACGCTGGTGATCAAGATGACAGCCTCAGCGCCACTAGCGTCTAAGCTACTCGAAGCAACAGCGCAGTGGAGGCGAGAGCATACCCGAGGCAGGCCACATCCTAAGGGGCCAATTTATGTGGCAGTGGCCCACCAACTACTGTCAGAACTGCAGGAGTCTCAGATGCCAAACGGTGTCAACCAGAATGCCTGGTCTACATTTATGGACGTCATCTCTGACCTGACCAAGAAGGCACCACCGAACCCCATTCTCGAACAAGAGCTGGTGCACTGCTCAGCTAGGCTGACAGCAAGACGAACAGATGTTCTGATAGAATTTCAGCCCCACCTCATGGGCACGCTGCAGAAGCATGCCAACATCTACGTGAGCGCCATGCAGCTTCAAGGCGGCGAACTCCTCGGCAGGCGACCGCCCGGGACTCTCTCGCGGAAGGCCAGAGGCTTGCCGATCACGTCTGAGCAAGGATAAGCCACCTAAACACGGAAGATCCAGCACCCTCTTAGTCTGACACTGTCAGAGCCACCATGGGACACTGTCTCAGCACGCTGCTTATTGCTCCGCTAATAGCTCAGCTAAGGCTCCGACAAGGCCAACGCTTCTGGCACTGCCAGTGACTGGCAGCCATTTTTACAGCCCTTCTTTCCACTTTTAATTCCTTCAACAGACCTACTGCAATAGCGCGGACATCACAAAATCTCTCTGAGTGTGCATTCTGGGTGTTATTTATTTGGGGATGCTGGCAATACAGACCCTGCTTCATGAGCAGAATGGTTATCGCAGCTAAGGGCCACGCCCCATTCCTTGTGTTCGCCACCAGAAATGGCAGTGTGAATGCAGCCACTTCTCTCCCCGTCCTTTCTCCTCTTCTCCTTCTTCTTTCCGGTTCTTCCTGCTCCTCTCCGCTTCCTTGAACAGACTCTAGCCGCCCGAGCATAAGGCTCAAACTGCTGCTTGGCCCAGCCCAGTATACCCTGCCTAAGCTACAACGTGTCATGCCCTTCATTGTGGACGACAACCAATTCCCTCCAGAACAGTACGAGTACTACTTGCGCCTCTTTCATCAGAACGTTGCAGCTCACAAACGCGAAGCTGAGCAAGCTGCTAAGCAAGCCACTTCCAGCCTGGAAGGCGTTGACGACAAGCAATCCAGCTCCACAAAGACCAAGCCGACATCGGACGCCACTGGCCCCCAGCTGACACGCCCGACACGGAAGCCGCCTTCTCCTCCGAAAGCGCGGTCCAAGAAGCAGCCGACAACGCACTGGCGACCGAAATAAGCTATTGACAAGTGAGAGTCGCGGCACTGCCGAGCTCGCTTACACACACTGTGTGGGGCACCGGAGTGTTCCTCTTTAATTTAGCCCACGCAGCAAAGCCGAGGCAACTGATTTCGAAGCCTGGCACATTTCGAAGAAGACGAGTCAAAAAAGGGAGCGAGAGAACACTGACCCATGATCTTAGTGAGACATTCGATGCTATTCATCTTGCCTCCAGCCTCTCTTTCTCTTTCTTCTCCCCTCCTTCTTCTCTCCCGCGCTTACTGTGGCAGATCATGTTCAAAAGTCCGGGCACAGCGGCAGGAACACTTCCCTTCAACTCTTTTGCAGCCAGCAATGGCCATGGCGGGAGCTGATCAACGCAGCAAGCAATTCCAGCTGCATGAGGAGATGCTGGGCAGGATCACTGCCCTACACAAAAGCTCTATCGCCAGGGCACTCATGGAACCTATGGGCCAGCAAATTGGCCATGGCAGCAGTGCGTGCGTGACCACGCTGGCCTACCCGACCCCGGAGGGACATCGACTGGTCGTCAAGCGTGCAAAACAGACTCGGGAGGCCGAGATGCAAAAAGAAATTCACCGCCTACGGCGACTCCCGACGATCCCCCTCTTTCAGACCATCCTGCACACTGAGGTCGGCGCTGCGGTCATGCTCACACTGTGCACAGTCGAGGAAGGCATCAAGCAGCACCTCTACCGGAAAAAAAAGGCTGAGCAGGGTTGACAACAACTTTGCAGACAATCCCCAGCACTGCTGGGGAGGACAAGGATGAGGCGCTAGGACACTGTCCTCCTGCCCGAATCCCCTTCTCAGCATGGAATGAGGACGGCACTCCAGCATACCCGTCAAACCCACTCCAGGCGGAGGAGCAGCAATGGTACGACAAAATGGACCAGAGGCACATGAAAGAGCTCTTCGACGCCATTGCTGAGGACATGCAGTGCGCCCTATCAGTGCTCCACCAGCACGGCATCATCCATGCAGACATCCACCTGGGCAACATCATGTCGTCGCAAACAGCAAGCCAAACCAGCCCACAGTGGGTCCTCATTGACTTGGGCGACAATGCGGCAGAAGCCATCTACTCAATACAGGAAGGGTATGGGGCGCAAGTCAGAGGGGGAGACCTTCACCGGCCGCCAAGGGTGGACAAGTCGCAATACCACACGGGTAACGGCGACCTCTACCGCCTCTCGCTGACGCTCAGCAAGCAGATCCTCCCACTCCTCCTCCACTACACCACAGGTCAAGTGGCCACCATAGGAGACGACATTTTCCACGGGAGTGATCTCCAGCGAAAAAGCTGATGACATGCGACGGTGGGTTACCCAGGCAAAGGCGGAGACACCCCCGGCACACCCCACCTCCATGTGGCCATCGGGATCCTGGCTGAAAAGCGCTAAGAATCTCATGCTGGTCCTCAAGGTCAGCCTGTGGGACAAGGACGGCAACCCGGTCACCTCAACGCTTACGATCCAACCTCCCATGACAGACGCTGAACGCACTCCTCAGGAGTGCCTCAGAAGCAATTTCTACGGCAATGCCAACGGCAGGATGGTAGAGGAGGCTCAGTCTTCCAAGAACAAGGGCACGGGCAGCTGGGAGCGCACGGCTATTTCCGCCAGGTGGACCCTCATGTGTGACTTGAAGACTACCGGCAAGTCCTACCTGAAGGTCAACCAGACAGTCTACCCGAACAAAATGTACGGGAACAGTAACGGCCGCCTTGTGATGGAATCGAGCCCACTACATGCAACGACGGCCAGCCCGGTGCCCTCCAATACAGGAGGACAGAAGAGGGTTAGAGACGCTCCAGCCCAATTCGACTACGATCACTTGTTGATGTCGAGAGGACAAGGCATCTGGGCTGACCCTCCTCCTCCACCGGCGGACACGATCACAAGCTCACCTCCAGCGCCAGGCACGCCGGAACTCGAGCTTCCACCTCTTCCACCACTTTCGACGCACACCGGCTCCACGATGATGAGCAACGCCGACATGGTCATCCTCAGCACCTGGCTGGCGGCGCTGCCACCTGAACAGCGTCGCATTCTACAATGGGCGGTGTTCGCCTACTCGCAGGTGTCGCGCTGAATAGCTCCCCAATTCGGTAACGATGGCAAGAGCAAGCACTGCTTGGTCGTTCACGGGACACTGTCCAGACCAAAGTACAGACTGCACTGCAGCCGTACATCAAGTACTTGTACAAACCAGAAAGCTAACCAAACCAGCCGCTGACACAGCTCACGAATCTCACCTTTCACTTTTTTCCCGTTTGAGCATTCACTCCTGCCAACCACGGCAGCACCGGAAGCTTAAACTTTCAAGGATGCGTAAAAAATAATCCTCACAGCCGCTGAGCCACGACTGACCAGCTGCCCAGCTCTTCCCTCTGCAGGGCCACAAGCTTGCCGAGGACAGCCTGCGTGGAGTACATTACAGCCATCCAGCTCAAACCATTTACGACAAGCTCTCATCTCATCAAAGTAACTCTTTGCAACTAATTCACGTAGGGTCACTGCATCTCCAAAGGAGCGCTCCGGACTGAGTCAGACTGAGACAGAGCCTATCCTGTCCATCAATGGCAGCAGCGCCAAGGGCCCCGTCTCCTACGCCAGTGCTATGCTTGGTGGACAGCACCTTCCAGCATCTCCTCTACAACAGCGAGACCCAGTTGCACCAGAGCTATGGCGTGAGGACCCTTGCTTCGGGCTACGCTGTCATATGTCCAGGAGCCACGCTGACCTCGCGCTACACAGGGCAAGGTAAGACCTGCCCCAGCATCTTGGAAGCCCTGGTGACAGCGGCAGGCCAGACCTTGGTAAAATCAGCATATCCGGACGGATCCATCCGACTTCTCTTCCAGACCTACGTGCACGACTCACAACCTGGTCCTCACGAGATGATGGAGGAATGCTTCCCAAACATCCCGAGGGAATTCTTTGACGACGCCAAGCAGGTCGAGATCATGAAGGAGCTGTCTGGCATGGTAGGGCACTGCCTTTACCACTCACTGACCAACGCAGCGCACCGCGCTGACGTCTGGCGGTACACAGAGCACTGGCTTCGAGGAGGGATGTACATTGACATCAAAACGCGCTTTGTAGTGACGTACCGGACCCTCATCTCTTGCATCATGAATGAGTGGACATCCACGCTCTCGAGGCAGGCACAGCACAAATACGGCTGGATCAACCCAGCCACTGGTCCGCCAGACTACTTCCTCACCGCCATCGGAGCTAAGAAGGACCACATCTTCCAGGGCATCTTGCTGGGACGACGCCGTCACCCATTAATGACGTCCGCACTCCACCACTGCTTAGCCAATGACTTTGTGCG